ATTTCATGGCACTGGTTTCTTCCCTTTATGTGCTACACTTAATTTGATGTTGTATGAGCCTCACTTGAAGGTTTCATCTGATTCGGAAGTTTTTACTCTTCCTAATTTCCCAGTTGAGATCAAGCTGACAGGAAGCCAAATACCGGCTTTTCTCAAGAAAAAGGTTGAAACAGAATTCACCAAGTTGTTTGAAGCGTCCAAAGCCTGTGAGAAAAGGAGCTATGGGGTTATTGTTAACAGCTTCTATGAACTTGAACCAGTTTATGCAGATCATTATAGGAAGGTGTTTGGGAGGAAGGCATGGCATATAGGCCCGGTTTCGTTATGTAACAAGGCAGCATTGGATAAAGCTGAGATGAGGGGAATGGAAGCCTCCCTTGATGAACATGAGTGCTTGAATTGGCTTAATTCTAAGAAACAAAATTCAGTTGTTTACTTATGTTTTGGAAGCATGACCAATTTCAGTGATCCTCAGCTCTTTGAAATTGCATTGGGGCTTGAGGCAAGTGGGAGGGAATTCATTTGGGTTGTGAAGAAAGAAAAGAAAGAAAAGGAAGAGTGGTTGCCTGAAGGGTTTGAAAAGAGAATGGAAGGTAAGGGACTAATTATAAGAGGTTGGGCTCCACAAGTGCTGATTCTTGAGCATGAAGCAATTGGAGGCTTTGTGACTCACTGTGGGTGGAACTCTATCCTTGAAGGAGTTTCCTCTGGGGTGCCAATGATCACATGGCCCGTGTCCGCCGAACAATTTTACAATGAGAAGTTGTTGACTGAGATACTGAGAATTGGGGTTGCTGTTGGTGTTCAACAGTGGGCTACATTTGTAGATGTGAAGCAGGAAGCCAGTGTGAAGAGAGAGGCCATAGAGAAGGCTGTGACTGAAATCATGGTTGGTGATGAAGCAGAGGAAATCAGAAGCAGAGCCAAGGCGCTTCGAGAGATGGCAAGGAGGGCTGTTGAAGAAGGTGGTTCATCTTTCTCAGATTTAACTGCACTTATTGAAGAGTTGAAGTCCCTTAAGGCTTGAAGCTTTAGCCAAACAACTAACGTTTTTGTCTGTACGTGTGTTTTTGTTTTTTGTTTTTTTATCATTGGGAAGGAAAAGTTTCTATTCTAAATCTATAGCAACAGAATTGTGAGTATAATATGTTAATAGAATCCTAATGCAAAACTGGAGGCATCTATGTATTGGGAAGAAGATACAAAGCCCTGGCCCTTTAAGATACAGTTAAATAAATTATGTGTGTACAAAAATAAAATAAATACAAACCTCCTTGTTTTGAAGGGTACAAGGAGAGGAGATTAGATGATCACTACTCTTCTTCAGTAGGAGCCAAATAAGAGAGAGAACAAAACCAAAATGTATACATTTTCAAAGGCTAGGTTCAAAACTGACAGATTAACTTATTGTAAATCTTTGACTACAGAAACTGAACACATTTTTTTAAAGCCCTGTGTGTCTTTCCTCTCAAGTCCCAAAGTACTATAATATACCAAGTGTATCTCCTAGCTCTTTCAGTCAAGCCTTATCAGTTCAATCTCTTCTCTAATCATAACCATCATTTCAATCGCTTGTTGGAATTGGAATTCCAGGGTGTTTACAAGGGCATTAAAGGGTTTGAGTAAGGGTTAGAGAAAAGAAAGTTAGGGTTCTTGTGAGAGCTAAGGGGATTCTAGATTGTAACCAAAGTTATTTTTACATATTAGTGAATTTCTCTATGGATCCCCAAAATGACATAGGCACGAGGCCGAACTCCTATAAATATTTGTGTTATTGTGTGTGTGCTTTATTCTCAAAGGGGTTTGTGTGTGTACTTTATTCTCAACGGGTTTGTGTGTGTCGTCGTATAGTTCATCAACGATAAGGTCTTGGAGTGTTTCTGCACAACACTCTTGGCTAATCCTCACCACCTTAAGAATTAGCTAGATAGCTAACTTATTAGTTTAGGTTGCTAGCTTCTAGCTTAATTACAATGAGAAGGTTTAATGCCTATTTATAGATTATTGAACCCACTAGATAGGTTGGTTGTATAGCAAACTCTTCAACATGTAATTCCAGCCAGAGTATACTGGGCTTGTCTAGAATTTTCTACTATTTTCATTTATGTTTGTGGCTGCCAACACTTCCGTGAAGATTATAGTATTTTGTAATTGGCACTTAGGTGACAAGGGATAAATTTAAATGCTTTTCAAGCAGACACAACGATCTTCACACATTTTAAATATTGACCAAATATACTTATGACTAGTCAACTGCTAGTCATGAAAAACCATAACCAAGAACACACACAGAGAGCATAACAATCTGTACCAGCAAGCCTAGAAGATTACAGTAACAACCTTAGCACTCAGAAGGACCCGTCAATCTAGGCACTCCTGTGCTAACAACAACTACGGTGAAAGTATGTGAAAAATCATAATCAAGTAAACAGCAAATAGCAGATAATGATGACTAGTCATCCACAAGAACGTAAACTCAGAACGCATGAACATCATGCGATGACTAGTCAACTATCAAGAACACAAACCAAGAAAGTAACGAAGCTACAAACCAGAAATTGTTCACCCAAAAACCCACCACTGGGAAAAACTGGGGATCATCAACCGACCAGACAATCCACTAAGAAAGAAGATTCTTACAAAGAAACACAAGCAAACTCAAGAAATCCTAGATCTATTTAAGAAGATAAGCTATAGCTCCATTGTGCAATCGTCTTCTCCAACTTAGCAAGACTAGCAGCTTAGTTCTTCAAGGCAATGAAAACTCCTTCTTAAGCTTTTCATCCCATGGCACCAACTCGCGAACTCAAACTCAGACATAAACCAAAATTTGGATTCATGGAAAAAATAACCAATTTCTTCAAGAAACCAATCTTGAATTTTACCTAGATATATATGAGCATGTGTTTGTTCTAGCTAGATGCAGATTTCATATTTCAAAAGCAGTTTTCGAAAAATCAATTTAGAAAACTCATAGATGAAAATTGTGGTTTTCTCTTAAGAAAGAAGAGAGAGCAAAAGGATAGGAAAAACCTTTTCAAAACCTCACCTCAAAGATGACGGCTGCCATTTGGCTTTTACCTAAAAATTCCTAGGTCAAAAAAGTACACATGGCAGCTAAGAAAATTCACAGAATATGACAAAAAAATTTGTTAGGATCCAACTGGAAACTAGTGAGCTGTAAATCCTACTAATACAAAGGATGACTAGTCATACGAAAACAAGATGACTAGTAATAATCTTAAGAAATCTAATGAATGCAATAGGATGCAATGCACAAATTACCTTGCCAATATGATTGTTCTTCCATAAGATAGCAGTCAGATAAGAACACTTAGAGAAACTATTCTTAATCTATAGTAAATTTAGGTTTTAGCAAAAAAAAAAAATTCACTTTTGGAAAAAGCCAAAGCTTTTTGAAAAAAGACAGAAAAACCTCTCAACTTTCAAATCAAAGACATGTAAATGTAAAGGATTCCTTAGGAAATCCAAAATTAAATAAGGGTAATTTTGTCTATTTTTGCTTATTTTACAAAATTTCTCTCTCTTTTGTGTTTTTCCAAAGTCTCCCCTTAATCTAAGCATGAGCTTGAGTGATTACAATGTATGTCCTATTACACTATTGTCAAGGAAAACCATTGTCAAGGAAAACCAAAAGAAAAACTCAAAATGCATACACTTAACACATTTTCTTCAAGCTTCTAGATTTTTCCATAATTTTCATTATTTCAGCAAGGAGATTGGATTATCACATTTTTTTTCTTCATTAGGAGCCTAATAAAGTATCCATTTTCCAAAGGTTAGGTTCAGAATTGACCGACTATAAACCATTGACAACACAAACTGAACACATTTTCTAATCCGTGTGCCTTTCCTCCCAAGTCCCGAAGTACCATATAATGTACCAAATGTATCAACTAGCTCTTTCAGTGAAGCCTTATCTTAGTTCAATCTCTTCTCCAATCATAACCATCATTTGGATAATATGGATACCAAAGCCAAGCAATCTCACATTTTTTTATTCCCTTATATGGCACCTGGCCACATGATACCAACCATAGCCATGGCCAAACTATTTGCTTCAAGGGGCATCAAAACAACCTTAATTTCTACTCCTCAAAACATTGCCTTCTTCTTCAAAACAATTGAAAGAAGCAAGGATTCAGGTTTCGAGATCGGAGTTCTTCTTCTCAAATTCCCTTCTGTAGAGGTTGGATTGCCAGAAGGCTGTGAGTGTGGTCACATGGTTGAAACACTAGAAGAGCTCCAAAAGTTCTTGAAGGCCACCTCCTTACTTGATCAACAACTTGAAAAGCTCCTTGAAGAACACCAACCCAACTGCCTTGTGGCTGATAATTGTTTTCCATGGACAACTGATCTTGCTGCCAAATTTGGAATTCCAAGGCTTGTTTTTCATGGAATAAATTTCATCTCTTTATGTATTTCATGGCATTTGATCAACATGGACTTTTCAGCATTATTGAAGTCTGATTCTGAGCCTCTTGTAATTCCTGATTTACCAGATGAGATCAAGCTTGCAGGAACCCAGATACCAAATTTCCTCAAACAAGAAACCGAGTTGAGAAAATTTTTAGAATCGACTGCAGAAACAGAGAGGAGGAGTTATGGGGTGATTGTTAACAGCTTCTATGAGCTTGAGCCAGCCTATGCTGACCATTATAGGAAGTTCTTGGGAATCAAGGCTTGGCATATTGGTCCCACATTTTTATACAATAAAGACACTTATGTCTCCCTAGATGAACATGAATGTTTGAAGTGGCTAAATTCCAAGACACCCAATTCAGTAGTTTATGTGAGCTTTGGAAGTGTGATCAAATTTGATGATGCTCAACTCCTTGAAATTGCATTGGGTCTTGAGGCTTCTGGGCAGCAGTTCATTTGGGTTGTCAAGAAAGAAAAGAGTGATGAAGAAAATAAGGAGGACTGGTTGCCTGAAGGGTTTGAGAAGAGAGTGGAAGGCAGAGGACTTGTTATAAGAGGGTGGGCTCCACAGGTGCCAATTCTTGAACACCAAGCAGTTGGAGGCTTTGCGACTCATTGTGGATGGAACTCAGTGATTGAAGCAGTGTCTGCTGGGGTGCCAATGGCCACTTGGCCAGCTTTTTCTGATCAGTTTTATAATGAAAAGTTGGTGACTCAAATACTTGGGATTGGGATTGGGGTAGGTGTTCAAAAATGGGAAAGATTTGGAGGGGAAAAAGTGGGGAAGAGAAACATAGAGAAGGTAGTGACACAGATTATGGTGGGGGAGAAAGCAAAGGAAATGACAAGCAGAGCCAAAAGGCTTGAGGAAATGGGTTTTGAGGAAGGTGGATCATCTTACAAGGATTTGAATGACTTGATTCAAGAACTGGGACTCTATAGCACTGCTCCTAACTAAGTACTAATTAAACCTAGTATGTATAATATGTTTCTGATCATCTTCAATAATGACAATGGTGTTTGTTTTTAAATTTTCTCCAAATATGTATATCTTTTAAACTAAATAAGTATGAGTTTACAAGTGCCAAATGCTTCTAAACAGATCTAGGGAGCGTTGGGGACATCTTCTAGTTTGTGAGACTATTGTATAATTAATCATAAAATTTTGAGTTCTTACATCATCACTAATAGTTTTCACCATTGTTGTCCTCGTTAGCACACTACCTCTATTAGCATTCTACAATGCATCATCTACAAATAAAATAGTCATTTTCTCAGTGTAACCGTGTGTCGTTTGTGTGAGGAGAGAGATAGACACAAAAAATAAAATACACCAAATTGCATATACAAGTTAGTTTGCTCATATAGGATTACAGGGTTAATATTCTATCACGAAACATAAGTTACAGCATCAGTGCATAATACATGATCAAGTTTGATTTCCTTAAATTTTGTTCAAGAACATGATACCATACATATTTATGGAAATGAATCAACTTAGAAGTATACATAGATTTTCAGGCTTGTTGGATTCCATACCACTAAGCTTGTAGCCATAATCATGCTCTCGGAGGAAGCCGTCTGAAAAAAGACTCAAGCCAACATTGATGATAGCAAACCCAGAAAAACTTGACATTATCTAGAGCTATGGGTGCACACTTAATCGTACATACTGCATCTTGTACTGCCATGCTCAAACCAATCCAATGAAATAAGTGCTTCCCTAAATCTATATCATCATGAACATCAGTGTTCACAGTTTGCTGGAGCAAGGTGAGAACAAAATTTATTTTATAACTTAAACTTCTTTGGATGGGTTGCTTTTCATAAAGTAGCTTTTGGGCATATAGAGTGAATACAAACTATAATTGTTTTTTAAATGCTGAGGATATTTGTTAACAACCATTTAGTCTAGTGATACTTCTCTTTACTTTATAGAAGAGGTTCTAAATTCAATTTTTGGGGGTGAAAGTTCCACCTTTGTTTGTGGTTGGACCAATTTGGTATTGCAGTCCTACATAGAGAAATTTTTAGCTCTTTAACACCGTTATGTGTTGTTAGCAATTCATCAATATTATAATACGAATTTCAACATATGAATTAGTAACATCAAGTGGCGGTGTTATCGTAACGCTAAAAGGAATTCACCTAGACAATCATTTGAATTATTTTTTTGTTAATATAACAATAACTTTCTTCTTTTCAAAGCCAACCACATCAAATATGTCACAGGAGCTAAAAAAAATTCATGAATATTTACAGGTGGGTTTACAATATTGATTTCTTATTGCGTCTGAAGGGCATAGGATTGTTATTCTTTTCCTCAGCTTTGTTTTTTTGTTTTTTTTTTTTAAAAAAATATTATATAGCCCTTTTACATTTGCCTCTGAACCGTGACATTTTATTTCTTTAGAAACAGCTCATGGTTTATACAGCCCTATATAATACACATAAGCCAAAATATATATCCCTTGAGAAATCCCCTCCCCTATAGTTTAGCTCCAAAAAAAAAAAAAAGTATATATTCCAATTAGGACTGAGGAGGGGCAATTCTATGGAGCCCCAATTCTTGAATCAAAGCATTCAAATGCTTGTAAGATGATCCACCTTCCTCCACACTCT